GTTCGTCATCGCAATCGAGCCGTCGAGCGGGGGCTGGGGAGAAGGGGGAGGGGGGAGGGGGGGGTGAAGGTCACTCTTTCTCTCTATAAGTTCAGATTTCCTCTAGTTTGAGTTTATAGAAAATGTTCTGATTGCGATCGTTCGTTGGGTGGGACGCAGCCTCATAAAATGGAACTGGTATCATCCGTGTCATTATCATAATTCGTTCCCAAAATCCCCCTCCCTCAATTTTTCAAAACAGATATTTTCACCCTGTACATAAATCTTATCGATCAGCTCTAGTCAAACCATTCATGGGATGCTAGGATCGAGTAGTGTTGGAATTCGACCACAAAAGCCAATTCTGCTCGCTCTAAAATGGCCATTCCGCGTTCACAACATGTGTCGGTAGTCGGGGTCTCAAGTACCAGGGCACATCACTGTTGGAATTTTCTGGAGTCTTAGACCGCCCCCTTTTTTTTGGGAGTTCGTAGCGCCCCTCCGCAGCGCCTCTTGCTTCTGTCCGCTTACCTCAATCGAATCGAGCCGTCGAGCGGGGGGAGGGAAGGAGGAGGAAGGGCAGGGGGGGGGGGGGAATAAGTACGCATGAAACAGGAAAATCCCCCAATAGCCAACGCACCACACTACCCAAAATGTACATGATGCGACCGCCCCCTCCCAAAATGACCCAAGTATGCCCCCCCGCACTTTACAACGTCAAATGAAGGCGGAAAATCAAAACCCACGTATTAAGACAAATTTTCCTCGCACCCAATACGCCCGCCCCCTGTCGGGATCCCCACACACGAGTCCCTGATCAAGTACCGAACGACACAGGGTGTGTATGTAATGAAGTTAAGCCCATGGGCCATGAAGCAAGAAGGAACAATCGAGGCGAAAAGGCGGTGTGTATGGAACGTTCTCATGCTTAAATATCACACTACGAATAAGTTTATTCTTCTATTATCTACCAGCCGCAACTCGGCAATGCAAAGATCCTCATACAGGAACAATCCACAATCACCGAGGAAGCTCTTCACGATTGCCTTGCGTGTGGCAATTGATGGTGGAATGGCGCATCGGCCTTCGTCACGCGAGCCCCTGCGCCTTACCCTCACGTGTTTGTTTCGCGGGCCGCGAAACGTGTAGATGCTCGTGCTTGCAAGCCGGATTACCTTGTGATAATGGCTAAGGAACGCGTCGCAAAGATGAGTGAACGCGTGCGGCTTTGGTGCCGGACACCCGGCAAGAGGCTTGATCCGCGGCAAAGGTTTCCTATCCTTTTTTATAATTGTTGACACTAGAAAAGGCCTGCCTATGAACTATATGTAAGCGCTCATATCCAGCGAGATGCCCTCAAGGTATAGAACAGGTCCACTCTTCTCTCAATAAATTCAGATTTCCCTATTTGAGTCATAGAAAATGTTCTGATTGCGATCGATTGTGTTGGTGGCAGCAGCCTCATAAAATGGAACGGTATCCTCACGTGTCATTTCATAAATTCGTTCCTAAAATCCCCCTCCATAGTATGACGCCAGGCCGATTTCTCCCTAGAAGAAATGTAATAGCAATAACAATTTAAATTATGCAGGAACATTCATATGCTAGCAATGCAATAACTTTGAGAGGAACTGAAGAAGTACCCATCGGAATGGTATTCGAACAGTAGATCTTTGTACAAATTTCCATTTCCACTCACTCACCGCACGATGGGCCGATAATTCGAGTTACTGGCGCAGCACTGTTTCGCGTGCACACAAAGGAAGTAACTCCGCGGCGTAAGTCACGCTTGTAATTGTTGTCTCTAGGTAATGTTTGGGAACATGATTTCTGAACCGGCTGCTCTCAGAGAGATCGGGGGGAACGTGACAACCGTATGCTATCGCGCAGGTCAACGTTTCGTGCAAAACGCAAAGCCATCGATCCAGGGCTCATATAGACCAGATGCGGACGGAAACTCACTCAGCCAACCTGGACAGGCACATCCATGGCGCTAGAAAACTTCTTCAGTGAGGCACCTCTGTGCCCGAGATACGCGGGAGGAGCGGGGGATACCGCACCCTCACCACAGCTACACTCACTAACCCAACTCTCTGCGCTCATTACCGACTAAAATGGTCTAAAGCGCACTACAAATTTTGACTATCGCCAGTCAGGGCGGCACATTGTATGTACGCTGGAAATCCCTAGCGAAAAGAAGGGGGGGGGGTGTTTTGCTCGCTAAAGGGAGCAGGTAACATTTGCTCCTGAACAAATGGTTTCCGTTTGTTAACTTCCACCGGTTTGCCCAGGTGCGCTATGTGCCCTTTTCTTCGTTCCCCCTCGGAGGCAGTTTTTTTCGAAAAAAAGGGGAGCAGTTGCTGGAAAAATCTCAGGAAGTGTGGTGGAAAGTTGGGACAGTTTAAGGAGATGACAGGTAAGATGAGAGATGGGGCAGCGGGTCGCAGGGGTGCGGAAGGGAGCACATAACTGCGTCTCATACCCCAGAAAGTAGGTTATAGATTTATCTAGCTACAGTAGAAGCTCTAATCACCTGGGAAGGGGGGGGGCAGGGGCGCCTGTCAACATACCGGGCAATGCTACAGATGATGCGTCACGCAACGAAATGGTACCAGTTTCATTTTTTGATGAGAAGAAAAAATTCCAGCGGTAGGGCGTGCCCTTACACTACTATTTCATGACCCCCTTAAGTATTTTGTAGGTAGTTGGGAGATCGTGTCAACAAGTTTAAAAACGCACTGTGTATCAAGCGCATTCCCATAACGAAACTCAACATCATCATTCCGAACTGCAGTCAGTCAAAACGAGCTTTCGTTTGAGTTCCACCTCACAGTAAAACTTGGTCGGTACCGAGCCAAACGACTACGATCAACTGGCAGCTGGCAGTTTTTCTCTGAACGATGCGCACTTTCTAACGACTCTCAAGACCACTTTCACTGGTGAAACTAAGGCAGTTAGGCAATACTTCCTCACATATAGCAATGGTATGTGGAACCATACATCGTTTTCTTCAACTGGTCGTTACCGATCTCATTGTAGCAGCGAGCGAATATAAATATATGCGACAGGACATCTTACGTTCATTTCCGTCTACACTTTAATTGCTTTTCGTTGGCTCATACACTATGGCTCTGGGAGGTCGTTACTTCATGTTATATCTTGCCTTCGAAATATTTTCATCTGATTAAGTTCCTACTGGTTACTACTTTCATCAGTCTGCCAGAGGTACCACCTTTATGATACCAACCGATCTTGCTCACTACATGTCAACGGTTCAATTTTTAACGAATCTGCCCCCTCCCTAGAGCGTCCTTACCCCGACTATTATTGAACACTGCAAATCAACATTTGCTCCCGTGTGGTCTGACTTAAATCGAACGGACTGAAGTTAACGCCTTAAAGTGTCATCCGTAGTTATCACGCCCGTCTCTGACCCTAGTAGCTCCCCATTGATAAATGGTCGACTGCAGTTATCGCCAACCAAAATGCGACGGCAACAGCGGTGCCGCCCGCAAAGAGCCGACAGCTGCCGCCCACCTGCCGACACGCCACCCTACTCATTTTAATATTTCCTAGAATGGTGCGTTGTCCTTGCTGTTCTTCCACGTGTAGTGGTGAGTGAGGTATAAGCGAAAACAGCTGATATGAATCAGAATGAGTGATCGGCGCGTCGCACACTCTTTCTCTTCGCCTTAAGCAGTACAACACGTTGTTCGGTATACTCTTCCTAGGCCATTTTCGTGTTTTCTCTTTGATTTCTTCACTAATAGGCTTCTTGCTACCTCCCTGTTACTACCTGAGCCGCATACTCATTAAATTTGAACGCGGGCGCTGCCCTTAATTCGTCTTTACAGCGTGGTGAAGTTCCCCACTCGGTTCTCTGTCTCCGAACGGTACACGAGATTATCACCATCACTTTCAACAAAGAAGTTCGTCACTAGAATCGATCAAGTGTATGTGCTTCAGCATTCCGGCAATCCAGTCTGACTGTTTCCCTTTGGCGTCTATTACCCACATCGTCGGCCACACTGATCTCGGCAACGGTGCGAGTCTTCGATTTTGCATCGTTGATGGCTGCCTTGAGGATAGCGCGGTCGTAGTATGGCGAGACAGCACTCGTGAAAATAAATAAAAAACAAAACTACCTTACAGACCTGTTCGCGTGCACGTAGCGGAAAAGTAGGCACGCTACTTTCAGCTGCGGGCCCCTTGGTCATGGTTTTGATAGGACCGCCTTCAGAAGTTAGGGTGCAGCTGTTCCCAACAGCACCATCGCTTCTTTCCAAATTTTCGGGAAAATATGGTCGTCGTGAAGAGTCGACGGTGGGGGAGGCGTGGAGACAAACTCTGAACAAATGACCGTACCGTATAGCTGAATACGAAACCGGAAATTCAATAACCAACAAAAATTTTTCGGGCAACGGTCCCTTCCCGTGCCAATGGTTATCCCCGTTGGGACTCCACGAAGTACCACGTATGCCTGATAGCCCACCACAACAGCAGCCGAAGCCACATTGAAAGGAAGTGCATGCAGGATTTCATGTGGAGTATACAAACATTTGGTAGAGCGCAGCCCCATTTTACTCTTGCAATGTCTTGTTGATTGCTCAAAATGTGTCCAAAAGAAGTTCTGGCGCAATCCGGTGGCGTGGGGGGAGGGACATTTTGCACATTCGCTGTTTCACTAGTTCCAGTTACAAGTTTCACTCCGGTGAAACCTGTGAACTGTTTTGAAGCTAGGGGGAAGCGCATCGGGCCATCATGGTGAATGATTCATAAGGTATTTCATGGCTTCACAAGAGTTGGCAGGTGGTTTCTATAAACTTTGGCTGTCGTTTTGTGGCTTCGCAAGATTTCACAGGTCTCCATTTGGTGGCTCGCTTGTCGATGAGAAATAGCAAAAGTGCAAAAATTCTGTAACCCTCCGTTGCCGAACTACGCCAATTTCTTTTTCTCAAAGTTGAGACGCAGCGTGTTTCTTTCTCGTTGAACTTGACTTCCTCTGGAACTTTAAATTCAGGATGTCCTTGTCGTATACGATCGCTACCGGTGGCACCGCCTTCATAATCACTGCCTCGCTCGTTGCTATGGTCGTTATTATAAACGACCTCAACCAACTCCATAGTGATATTCATAGTGAAATGAAGGAGTTCAGAGTAAGTTGTTTGACGTCTTCTCTTTCCGGGTGAGGAGAAGCCGGCAAAATGCTTTTTCCTCATTCTGTTCTACTGATTATATAGAGAAGTCCCACTACTTCCCCAGATAAAAGCTAGAATGACCAGGCGGGCACTCAGAGATGCGCCGTGCACTCGGCTCTTTCTTGGGTTTGGATATGCACTCCGACGCGTTATCAATCCGCACCGTGAAATGTAGCGGTCAGAATCGTCACCTCAGTGTCTCCATCTTCCCAGATACATCCGCTACCCGTGATGATGACAGTCTTTGTTATACTGAGCGGGATTCCACAGAGGCATGAAGGCACCTTTTGGGGCATGGATACACATGGTTATCCCGGATTTTCCAACGAAACCTTTCCATGTGATAGTTGGTATGAGAGGTCGTAATGCTGCTAAACTTACAAATTTCTGCTGTAAAGTAATTTTTGCGACAAAGTGCGTCAGTCCACCTTGTTACGAAATGCGTCAAGTAGTTCACTTTTCATCAGGTATGGGGCATGACAATGGCGATATGCCGCGCTGGGCGTGAGGAGCGACGCCGCGCACGCGAGGGACGAGTTGTCCTGCGTGGCTGTTTGAATTTGGATGTCAAAGAGACGGGTAATCGATATCACTTTTCCTGTGGGAATGTGCAAAGAAGCGTTTGACGTCGACCCAGCTTGTTTTGAAATGGGATAGGCAGTCTACTTCTAAGTGGGTGTGGACAAGACATTTTCAAGACATGAATGCTGATACTGATACACTGATAGGGTGGGGAGCGAAGGCGCGGCACGCGCAGGACGAGTTGCTCCACGTGGCTGTATGAATTATGGATGTTCATAAGTGAAGGGAAAGCTGGATTGGTTTGCTTCTGCTCGGATTCACACTGGATGCGCTGCTCCAATCCACTAAACGATGCACGAAAACCTCCCGTGTGCTCAGGCACGCCTCACGTAGTTATCCTGGTCTGTGAATTGTCGCCGTTCCCCTCCCTTGTGTTTGGAATCTTACAATCTTGTTGCGGTGGCATGTGAATGTGAACTTCACCTATAGGCACGATTTGATGGGGCCTAGCCAAAAATGGGGAAAACTCGTATTGTATCCGGTTGTTTATCCAACTCGAAGCGCATGATGGGGGGCATGCGACTTACAAGTTGCTATCGCGCAGTCAGACGGGCACTTGTCAGCAGATGCGAACCAGCCCAACCGTGGCTTTATCCATCTTGGTTGTTCTCTTCCTGAACCGATCACAACTGGTAGGAAGGCGCAGGTCTGCTATATTCCACACCTTTTTATCGCCCCGGCTGGCTGTGATATACAATATTACCACTGCTTACCTTCGCTTTTAAAACAGTTGCAGCTGCCAATCTCCTGCCACCTGACGCAGTTTTGCCGTTCTGGGGGGGGGGACATTTTGCACTTTCGTTGCTTCACTATTTTGGTTTTACAAGTCTCACTCTGGTGAAACTTGTGAACTCTTGTGAAGCTGGAGCAAGCTCGTTTTCATCAAGCCACCATAGTAAGACCCTGTCAATCGAGAGATGGCCGGATGGGCGTCTATCATTGTCGATGGGAAAGTCGTTTGAAGTGCGCATTCCCTCCCCCCCCCACCGTGCAAACAGTGTCTTGTACCTTTTCTGATTCAAATGAGCTCATCAGGTATTCAAAACTTATTAGCAATCTATAGAACTGTATTAATTTTGGGTATTTTTCATTTGTTTTTGATTCAGTGTTTGGACCAAATCCTAACATTTCAGGGCAAAGCGGACGGTGCATGGCAACTGATAATGAAAGCATATGATGACGATGCGATCAGGACTATCTCCTATTCGTACTCACTCGCTCAGCCTAGAATAAAGCGTCAAAACAAATCTCACAAAACCAGTAGCAGCCATAACAATGAGTGCAATTGTGGGCCACCATCGAACACATGTCTTCCTGGACCAGAAGGCCCACCCGGAGAGCCAGGTACGCCGGGAGCTCCTGGCGAGGACGGTCCTCCTGGTGAACCTGGTCTACCCGGGATAACACTTCTCCTTATGAACGAGCTTAATGGTTGCATTAAATGTCCGGCTGGACCGAGTGGCGATCATGGACCACCAGGAGAACCGGGACCGGCCGGTCCACCAGGACCTCAAGGTATGCCCGGCATGATGGGTGGCCCAGGTCCACTTGGTGAGGTTGGCCCTGCGGGCGATCCAGGCATAGAGGGAATGCAAGGAATGCCAGGCTCACCTGGTATGCCCGGTGAACACGGTACGCAATACAAGGAAGGTCTGCCGGGTATGCCTGGATTTCCAGGACCACCCGGTCCAGAAGGACCACCTGGAAAAGACGGTGAAAACGGGAAAAATGGTGAACGTGGTCCACCAGGACTACCTGGTATCCCTGGTATGGGAGGAGTACCTGGTATGGACGGCCAACATGGCGTTGTTGGCATGGATGGACGTCCAGGACCAGATGCTATGTACTGCCCGTGTCCCGCGAGGAGTCTGCCCCTCTCTATCGACAAGTGATTTCCTTCTCAGAACATCGGAGCAGCTCCAGCCCTCGGGATAGTGGGTCAAAATGGCCGGAGATCCCATGCCTTGGTGCTGCCATGCTCGCTCTTTAAGAATTGTCGAAGACAAGTTAAGGAACTAGCATGGCAGCATAAACGCATGGGATGTCCGCCCATTTTGACCTAGTATCCCGAGGGTTGAAACTGGTCCAATGTTCTAAGTTCGTCTTCATCCTATTTTTTTACTGTAAATCGTACAATTGATCCTTGCTTTAACTTCGCTGTTTCAACTTCGTCCCTTTCTTTGTAGTGTTGTTTTTCACATGAGAATTATTAACAAATTGTGAAGTTCTGTAACATAGAATGCCATAAGAACACGATTTTCTCAAAATCAATAGATAGTCACCATTTGTTCTCGGGATTGGACGGTGAGCTTTCTTTTTTCTTTGGTTAAATATAAATTAGGGACCAGCTTGCTGAAGTGATCTTTGAATCCAAATTGTTTTTTGCGGGGTCCTTGTTGGAACCGGATTCTATTCCTTACTTCGATGGCTATCATTCCCACAAATATGCAAATGTTTCCAAAAGCAAGGTACTTTGATTGTTATGCGCATGTGTGATAGCGGCGTTCAGTTGCAAAACTATGGTCGTTAAATGACTTTACATGGAAGAAAAAAAGCAAAAAAAAATCCATGGAGAGCACCTTGAAGACAGCTCCCGCGATAAAAGTGTCAAGGATAATTGCTGATCAATTATGAAACAGTAGCTGATAAGTAATTCCTCAATGAAGGAAAAAAGAAACAAGAGCCCTCAAGAACACCATAAACAAAACGCGCGCCCCTGGGACAGTCACACGCTCCCTGTAGTCTCTCTGTGCAAGCCCTGGCTCACAAATCACTTTGTCACATCTCCCAGTAGTGAATATCATCGAATGCGAAGAAAAGAAAACAAAAAACAACAGAAACATAGAGGAAAAACTCTTGAAAAAGGAAACATATCCGAAAAGCCGGCGTTCGAGACTTTAGGTTACGGTGGGCGAGATGTTTTAGTGGTTAAGAAGTGCGTCGAGCTTTTGCACCACAGGAATTGCATCATTCGTGATTTTTGCGGTTTTACCTTACTAGATGGGTTGCTGTTGGCTGTACGTGCTCCCAATGAATAAAATGTGATGAAGCGGAGAAGGCTGATTATTTTACGAAAGGCGGCGAGGCGTGGTCAGCAAAAATTAACAAAAACCATCCCTCCGATTAATGACTGCCGTCCCAACAAAGAACAACTGAGCGGCTCTCCGTCAGAGGGCAGCTAGCTAGTGAGGCGGTCCAACTGAGCAGGCGTTAGAACTAGAACTTTGAGCGGTTCTAGCTCGCTCCTCGCTCGCTGAGGAGTCGCGAGAAGTGGAGGCAGTATCTATCGCTTGGGGTGAACTACGCTGCCATGGAATGAATGTACCATGGTACTACTGAGCGCTGGGGGATCTTTATGTCTGACAGCTTGCTCTGGCCGAGTTTTTCAGACTTAGGCGTCTTTAAAGCCCAGCAGGAAGAAAGCCTTTGGCTCACCTGGAATCGTTGGGCGTTTTCAGCGCTATTACCACCCTGACTTATGAAACTAGAACCAAAAGTACAGTGTCTGAACTCGTGACGGAACATAGCCGTCGAGTTTCACTGGGCGGCACAACTGGAGGGCGTCAGAAGTGCCACTTGTGAGGGTCGCAGCGCTATCGTCACATACTGTGAAGCCTCGAAAATGAGATAATGTTTGAGGCTGATGACTGGACTATTTGTGCAAAGGAGTTTTCTGAACGAAAGGGCTGTCTTCAAAGGCAACTGGCACGATAATTTAGTACTCGTCAAAATGGCAGCAGAGGTGCGAAATAGTGAGAAATGGTCGAACAAACGAGTGAAACGGGTAAAAACCTGCAAAAAAAGCCCGTGTTCTACACGATTCAGAAAGCAATTTTTGAAGGAGCATCCCCGCTGGCATCTTGCCAATGACCACTGCGTTAGATACGTGTGCATCTGTACTCATATAGCCATGCAGCATGGCACCGCTTTATATTGTTTTCGCCTCCTATTTTCCTCTGCAAATGAAGCGATATGACCTGGGCCAATCGTGGTGGGCGGGCGTGGTAGGCGTTTGGTCAGTATGTTGCAGTTTATAGGCTTCTATTAGGGTACCTACCTTGGGGAAGGCGCCGCGCAGCGCTTGCTCAGGGGCGTCGAATTCAGTCTTGCTAGGCGTATTGGTCGTGCAGGTCTTCGAGAATTCTCGTGCGATGATGCCTACAAGCACCGAGATCTTGGAAACAGCAGGTGGTTAATGACTAGCCTGCATGAACAAAGCATGGGAATCCGTCGAAAACGTCCTGAATAACACTACCCTGTCATAAGTCTTGGGTACTGACTACGCCTCTTGCTACGCTGACCTTTCCGTAACCTCGGTATCACAGCTGCTATCATAGGTATCACTGGTGGCGGTATCACACTTGTAGAGCGGGTAGTGGGTAGTACTTGCAAGTGCATTCAGACAACTGAAGGATTGTGATTTTGTTTCTGTCCTCGTGCCCTCTCCCCTTGAAATTATGAATGCCGCCGAACGTTTGCGAGTCGCCCATATGTTGTCACGGGGCTGTTGTCAACCGGACGTGCTCTCGCCGCGAGGGTCCAGGGGTATTTTCACGAGGCATCTACCAGTCCAGTAGTTGGAGGGAGAAGGTAAAGGAGGAGGGATCAGAGAAGGAAGGAAGGAAAAGAAGGAAGGAGGAAGAAAAAATGAAAGAGAGGAGAGGCTTCCCGGTTGACAAGTGCCCTGAGACGCCATATGCTCCCTGGGAGACCAGGGCGACCAAGATCTCGCAGCGAACGCATTGGCAACATGTCTGCAACGTGCAGCAAGCGGAAATCGAGTTGAAATGAACAATGTCGCTCCAGTCAAAGGTGAGAGGCAGCGGGCAATAGCGCGTGTGGCTATGATTAGAGGTGTGGTGTGCCGTGCGGGGTTACGTGACATCTTGAACTTTCGTGCATGTCCTGTTGGTCCTGTTGCGAAACCCTTTGACGCAGACAGATAAAGGATAGCGGTTGCCAAAACATCGAAGTGTGTAAAAAACATTTGGCAAGCCAGGTCATGGGCTTTTTCCAAGGGAGGGGACTCCGGGGTGGGTGAGCCACTTATCATGTGCGAAAAACTGGATCGTCTGAGGTCACAATGACCGCAGAATGCCATACAAACGAGAGAGTGCAGAGAAAAACGGAAGATCGACGCGTTCAAAGGGATTAAAGTCGTCATCCGGGCAGTTGATTATCCGGCCCAAGGGTCGCGACGCGGCTGCAGCGCGTCACGATCGCGGCGATCAGCTGTTTCCAGCCTAATTTAGCAATTTTCTCCCTAGTTTTCACTGTATTTTCTCTTTTTTTTAAGGTCAGTTGCTTTATTGTCTCTATGAAGTATATCGAGACGTGAATTTTTTTTGCCCTTGTAAGGAGCGCGATTTTCTTAGGTATTTGTCTAATTCCTTGTTTAATCGTTTAAATTGTTCGCAAAAGTTAGAAAAACTCAATCATAATTTATCTTGTGAAGACAAGGAACAGTTAACCTTGAAAAAACAGCCAAAAACAGTGAAAAGTAGGAAAAAATGACTAAACCAGGCCGGGAACGGCTGATCGCCGCACACCCGTTCCTACACTCCTTATCCCTGAGCCAGAGTAGGCGTGGCATTTGAACATGGCACGGAACTGGTTACTCGTGGAATATTCCAGTCTGGGACAACTGTCATCTTGTTCTGTGTTGGACAGAGACACGACAACAATTGTGTCAAGATGAAAATATCTCACCAGAAGCATAGACTCCTTCAGGTTAAGTTGAAAGCATGCAGCCACGCCTACCCGATCTCAGGGATTTCGAGTACGTACGCGCTCGCTGCTGCAGCCGCGTCTGCGGCCCCTTGACGACCGCCCTAATCAACTTCCGGATGACGCGGGTGTAAGTTCAAATCGTCCGTGCCGTCGCTCTGTGGTGTTATTTGGTGGGCGGAGACATAGAATAGCATCCATTAAGCGCAACCCTCCAGTTTCACTGCCATGGACTCCGAGTCGCAAAAGGCATACGCTATCTGTGCTCTATGTTCGCGCATTATTCATGGTCAGTACTGAACACAGAGAGCGGATCCTGCGCTAATAAAGTTGGGGGCGTCGGAGAAGGTGATATTTGTGCAAAGCTGGGATCCTTGCAATGTAGGTGAGGAGTCCAAAGAGAGAGGAACTATAGGGTTGGAGACCTGCTCTAAACGATGGCAATCCTTTTTGTGAAAGGTTGGCCCCATTTTGCACAAGAGCCCTTTGAATCTCCCCAAAGTGCTGCAAATCCTTGGAGTATCCTTAGCGGTTGCTTTTGCTTTTTTCCTCCACAGGCTCTTCATTTCTTTTCTCTCATTCAGCTTCATTCTTGACCTCCATTATTCACGTCTTCTCGTGTCGTGAAATGTGAATGCCTTGAACCCGTGAGAGTGGAAGAAAAATCGCGTTGAACACAAATTTATTTCAATCAATAGAGAATACACAACTTAAATGCGATATGAATTTTCTCAGATCATCTTAAATTTGTTCATAAACACCTCCATGATCAATCAAACCCCTGAAGGCATCACACGATCGCCACTGTTGGAGAATAGGAATGGAGTCGAAATATTCAGACCATCTAAATAATGAGAAATACGCAAAAGGAAGAGCCAATTTTTCGGCATACGCCGCACATTCTGCCTCTGCCCCGAGTGGCATAGGTCATTGAATGAAGGGACACACAAATGTCTTGTTTTAAAAACCGGCAGCGGATGCATGGCGTATATCAAAAGTTGTTCTAGATTCGTATATGCAACTACAATATGACTATTAGCAGTACAACTGACTTTTGGTCGTCACATCTATCACTGCAGCGCTGTCCACAGGAGTATGACGAGTAAAATCACTGGATCGTCTGTGAAGAGGTCGACTTGTCTGGTTCATTTTTGACAGCCATCGA